ACTCCACTAATGGAGCTGCTCCACGGTGGATCTAGCTGAATCCCAGATCCAGATCCACTTTTTGGCTTGGTGGAGCTGTCCCAAACAGACCCTTAGTGGGCGGACAACTACTGCACCCGGGGCAGACAACTACCAATATATATATATATATATATATATATATATATATATATATATATATATATATATATATATATATATATATATATAATAAAAGTTATTTATTGGGAAATGAAAACTACCCATTGCTACCTTTGTCTAGAAAGAATACAACTATGGGTTATGTGCCACGTAAAGTGGTTCACGTTTGACCAAGTTTCTAGTAAATAGTAGTATTTGCATTTATGACTCCAAATTAATTTATTATGAAAATAAAATTCATAATTAATCTAATAATATTTATTTAATATTATAAATATTTATACTTTTTATCTATAATTAGTCAAAGTTGGTATACCAGGGGTGTTTGAAACTGCTCTGCTCCACGTTTTTCAGCTTCACTCCATGTTTTTCAGCCAAACGATTTTAGCTTCATGCACTCAGCTCTAGAAAAAAGGTGGAGTTGTGACAGCATCTAAAGAGGTGCTCCACAAACTTCAGTTTTTTATGGAGTTGCTCTACGGTAAAATTTATGGAGCAGAGTTCAGGGGCGGATGTAGTGTAGGTGCATGGGGGTACAGTTGTACCCCAAAATTCTGGTCAAAATATTAAGCATTATATCTATAAAATATTATATATCTAGAACACTTTGTCAAATAACAATATCTCGAGTTCAAATGCTCATTCAAGAAGGAAACAACCCATAGCATACTAGCACTCTTTCTTCTAAAGCCCGGAAGCCTAAAATGAACCAATGCACACATAGCACAAGTACAAGATAAAAATCATAGAACGAGTTGTGAAAGATAAATATGTAAAGTTGACTCTTTTTCCTTCCAAACCATCGCTATAGTTTTTTTTAAAGTTTGAATCTTGATCTTGTTTAATTATTTTTATTGTTTTAGAACGGTCAAGGCATCAAGACCTTGGCAATGACTATCTTTGTATGATTGATGAATTGTATCCTTAAATCCATTTACCTAATTATTTTATCGTCATCCGGCCATCATATTATATCACTAGCGAATTGCATAGCTTAGATCTGTGTATGAAATCCTGGATGCGCCACTAGCAGAGCTTGTAGAGCAGTCCTAAACACCTCCTAACATGTGATACTGCTCTAGAATTGCATTATTTTAGTGACGGAAAGAGTACAAGCAGAAAACACACCGCATTGTTGGGAAAGAAGTTGTTTCGGAGGAGTCGTCGGAGTAAAGATGAGTAGATCATTCACGGGAAAAGCCAAACGGTGTTCAGAAAAGCCAGAGAATCACGACTCACGAGACGGCAGGCACGTTTCTTATCCTCAACCTCACCATCTCCATTCTTGTCCACCCGTCGTTTGCATCGGACAACAGGATGCCACTTTCCCCGCACGAAGAACCAGCCAGAGCCCTCCAGCCACTCCCACCTTACCATCGTCTCCCTCCCTACATCACAGATCGACCTCTCCTGCTCCCGCGCCGAGGTCGGCCTCTCCTGCTCTCCATTACTTCCAGGCGTGAGCTCTAGCTGCGGGTGGTTTTCCTCTGCTCGCGGCCCGCGAGCACAGCTCTGGGCCTGGATGGGATTGCTCCTTGCTGAGGCCCTGTTCATCTGTGGGTTTGTGATGTCCTATCTAGGGGAGATGCGTTGCTGCCTTATCTGCCGTTGGTTTCTCAATTGAACAGCTCACAACAGAACTGACAAGCATGGTTGGAGGATAGATTCGTTCAGCTGTCATGGTGTTTCTCGAGTTCAGGCAGGGTGTTCCATTTGTACAGCTGTGGTGTTTGGACAGTCTACCTCTTCAGTTCACTGCTGTTTCTGTTGTGACTTTTTTCAGGTTTCACGTTCTTGTCAATCGTATTCTTCTATTCTACTAGGATTACTGTTATTATTTCTGTGATAAAGATACATCTGAACAATGCACCTAGCTATAGTATGTGTGTTAGATATATATCTATGTTCTTGGTGTTAGCAATCAAGCCCATTCGCTTGTACTACGGATGTACCTGAATCTTCCATGTACCTACCTCATAAGACGAAGTTAATCTTTAACAGTCCAAACTCATTCGCTGTTTTCATTACTGAGCTAAAAGTTTGTTGTTGGGTGACTGGTGTCTGGTGTGTGGTTGCTGACCGGTTACTTGAGCTATAAATGAAATATTTGCCGAATCTGTTGATATTTGTCATGGACAGTTGTTAAGTTAATCAAATTTGACTATTTGAGAGTGATGGTTGTCATGAATGGGGAATATTCAAGCTCAGCAAACCAGATTACTTGTCTATTTACATTGGGCATGGATCTCTACACAGACTATCCCACGGGACAAAGCCACCTGAATTCTCTTTTCGTGTGCTGGTTTATTTGTTTCTCTCTGTAAATGTCATTGTTTTTCTGCTTTTCCTTTTTCTCGACCGTACCACGATGTATGTTTTTCATTAAAGTTAAATACACCGATGGCCCTTGAACTTGTAGCTCTGTGTCAATTAGGTCCACGAACTCTCAAAACCGAAATCTAGACCCCTAAACTTGTTAAGTCGTGCACCGCAGGCCCATACCCTTTGATAGGATGGATAATTTTTTACAAAAACCACCCTACCACAGTTATCTTCTACCTTCGTCATCAGTGTGGAGGCCGCAATGGCAGCGTTGGTGTACAACAGCAACATGCTGAAGCTGGCCATGCTCGTGGGCAGCTCTGTGTAGAAGAAGTCGATCTCCCCGATGACACCGAACGCCTCGGCGAGCCCCACAAGCGCAAACTGCGGCACCAGCCATAACACCGAGATGGTGACCCCGCATAGTGCCAGCCGCCGCCGTGCTCCCCCAACCGACACGCTGCTTCATGGTGGCCCGCTCGAGCCGAGGCGTCGGTCCATAGTATCGGCCTGCTTCATGGTGCGACTTCCCGTGAAGCTGCTCCAACTGGTCGATCTGGTTCATGTCCAGGACGCGGATCGCCGACTTGAGCTGCTCCACCTGGTGCACCGTGCACAACCTCTTCCCGTGGTGGCCGTGCTGCTTGGATGCCGCCGCGTCCGAGCCATTGCAGGGCGCGTCCTCCTTGGTGCCACGGAGCAAGCATGCCTTGTTCAAGAGCCTGAACGAACGAAGCTCAAACGCCAACATGTTCGCCTCGTCATACCACGTATATCCTTGAAACGTTGCTTCTGCTTGCTGCTTGTTGGGACGTGAGTGAGTGACGTACCTCAGCTTGTCCGTAGGGACAGCGAGCTTTCAGTCCTTGAGGAGATGGTACACGCCATTGACATTGGCGGTCTTGTCCGACAACCGCGCCCTGTGGTTCATGATCGCCTCGCCGACGACGGAGCCTATCGCGACGAACATCTGCCTTTTGCCCTTCTCCTTGACATAAATTGTAAAGGCTCAATCCCAGGACCAATTCAGACTCTCACTCGCCAAGACTGACGGAGGTGGTGAAGGACGCGTCGTCGAACCGGCCTCTCAGTGTCAGCGTGCTCGCGTCCGTCAGCCTTGTGTCCGTCAGTGACGATGGTGTCGACGAGACATTGTGGCACAGCTCGGACTTCGTCTCTCCATGCAGCTCGACGTCGTTGACATCGAGTAGTGGCAGTTGTTGCTGCGCCGCGCGGCCGCCCTCTGTGCGAGACGACTCCATGTTGCCATGTTGGCCACGTAGCTCGGGAAGAACGGCAAGTCCGCGCGCCATGTCTTGCGCCAGCTTGGCATCGGCATCGGCTCGGACGCGGAGGTGAAGGACGCGTCGTTGAACTGGCCGCTCAGCGTCCGCACGCTCGTGTCCGTCAGTGATGACGGCATCGGTGAGACATTGTGGCACAGCTCGGACTTCGCCTGCGTGCGGCTCGGCAGCATCGACGTCTGAGTAGTGGCAGCAGCTGCCACTGTGTGGCGTGCCCGCCCTCGGCGGGCCGTCTTCCACCTCCACAATCCTGACGTCGTTCTCCTCAGCATGAGCCCTGGACGAGCACCTGCATTCGCTGTTGCATCAGGTTGGCCGGCTGCCGCACCAGCTGGCCCCTCAGCAACGCCTGCAGCTTCACCATCCCTCGCAGCGCGCACAGCCTGAGCAAGGATGACTAGAGGTAGACGATAACTATGGCAGGGTGGTTTTTGCAAAAAAATTATTCTAGTAAGCACCTCTCGAAGGGGTATGGACCATGCAGTGCACGACTTAACAAGTTCAGGGGGGGCAGATATTGGTTTTGAGAGTTCGTGGACCTAAGTGGCATAGGGTCACAAGTTAAAGGGCCGCCAATATATTTAACTCTTTTCATTAAGAGGAAGTTTCTACTTTTCTTTTTGTTTCAATTTGTCTTTTTCATTGCAAGGAATATTGTTGCAACCAGGGCAAACTACTTTGGGCTCGCTATAAATGCAAGTCAAGTACTGTATCCTTGGGCAATCCTCTGGCTAATAAGAAACCCGACCATTTCACACAAGCCTGGAAGAGGTGATAGCCTGTTCACTTGTTGGTTTCAGCCAGCCAATAGTATTTTTCTCTCAAAAAAACCAACACCAGCCAGCCAAACCAGCACCAGCACCGACCAGCGAACAGGCCGGATGTTTATCCTCTTCCTACCTACGTTTGTTGTCATGCTATTTCTAAAATTCCGGACAATGAACAGATAAGTTCAGTGTCTTCTGATGATACATGTGTTCTAGGATAAACAGTTTCGATGCCTAACATTGCCTTCGTTGTATGGTACATAATATGATGGTAACCTTTTGGAACATGATATAAGGTGTGTTTTTTAAGAACGTGATATAGGGCGTATCTTTGTATGATTGATGAATTGTATCCTTAAATCCATATACCTAATTATTTTATCGTCATCCGGCCGTCATATTATATCATTAGCGAACTGCATAGCTTAGATCCGTACCCGATGTATGAAATCCTGGATCCGCCACTAGCAGAGCTTGTGGAGCAGTCCTAAACACCTCCTAACATAACATATGATACTGCTCCAGAATTGCATTATTTTAGGTACAGATAGAGTATGAGTAGAAAAACATCGGATTGTTGGGAAAGAAATTGATTCGGAGGAGTCGTCGGAGTCGTCGGAGTAAAGTGTCTATTTAGTTCCTAAAATTTTACAAAAATTTTAAGATTCCCCATCACATCGAATCTTTGAACGCATGCATGAAGCATTAAATATAAATAAAAAATAAAACTAATTACACAGTTTAGACGAAATTCACGAGACGAATCTTTTAAGCCTAATTAAACTATGATTGGACACTAATTACCAAATAACAATGAAAGTGCTACAATATCATTTTAAAAAAAAAATTAGGAGGCCAAAGGTGAGTAGATCACTCACGGGAAAAGCCAAACGGTGTTCAGAAAAGCCAGAGAATCACGACTCACGAGACGGCAGGCACGTTTCTTATCCTCAACCTTGCATCGGACAACAGGATGCCACTTTCCCCGCAAGAAGGACCAGCCCGAGCCCTCCAGCCACTCCCACCGTACCATCGTCTCCCTCCCAACATCACAGATCGACCTCTCCTGCTCCCGCGCCGAGGTCGGCCTCTCCTGCTCTCCATTTCTTCCAGGCGTGAGCTCTAGCTGCGGGTGGTTTTCCTCTGCTCGCGGCCCGCGAGCACAGCTCTGGGCCTGGATGGGATTCCTCCTTGCTGAGGCCCTGTTCATCTGTGGGTGTGTGATGTCCTATCTAGGGGAGATGCATTGCTGCCTTATCTGCCGTTGGTTTCTCAATTGAACAGCTCACAACAGAACTGACAAGCATGGTTGGAGGATAGACTCGTTCAGCTGTCATGGTGTTTCTCGAGTTCAGGCAGGGTGTTCCATTTGTACAGCTGTGGTGTTTGGACAGTACGTCTTCAGTTCACTGCTGTTTCTGTTGTTACTTTTTTCAGGTTTCACGTTCTTGTCAATCGTGTTCTTCTATTCTACTAGGATTACTGTTATTATTTCTGTGATAACGATACATCTGAACAATGCACCTAGCTATAGTATGTGTGTTAGATATATATCTATGTTCTTGGTGTTAGCAATCAAGCCCATTCGCTTGTACTACGGATGTACCTGAATCTTCCATGTACCTACCTCATAAGAGGAAGTTAAGCTTTAACAGTCCAAACTCATTCGCTGTTTTCATTACTGAGCTAAAAGTTTGTTGTTGGGTGACTGGTGTCTGGTGTGTGGTTGCTGACCGGTTACTTGAGCTATAAATGAAATATTTGCCGAATCTGTTGATATTTGTCATGGACTAGCTGTTAAGTTAATCAAATTTGACTATTTGAGAGTGATGGTTGTCATGAATGGGGAATATTCAAGCTCAGCAAACCAGATTACTTGTCTATTTACATTGGGCATGGATCTCTACACAGACTATCCCACGGGACAAAGCCACCTGAATTCTCTTTTCGTGTGCTGGTTTATTTGTTTCTCTCTGTAAATGTCATTGTTTTTCTGCTTTTCCTTTTTCTCGACCGTACCACGAGGTATGTTTTTCATTAAGGCCAAGTTCCAAGTTTTTTCGCTCTCTCTCCATCACATCAATTTTTAGCCGCTTGCATGGAGTATTAAATGTAGGTAAAAAAATAACTAATTACACAGTTTAGTTGAAAATCACGAGAT